AAAAAAAAAAAGGATTTCATGCTGATTCCAGTGCAATATTTGAAGATGCTTCAACCAACTTAGCTGAGGTTTCAATTACTTTGAGACAAGGAGGATAAATTTTGGCTATTGTATCAAGAGACCAAAAGTGATTGGCAATGGATGTTTGTTCTTTAGCACATTGTTGGGTAATATCCTTAGGCTCGACTTTTCTTTTATATCCATATAGTATAATGGTTTATTCAGTGATTTTATGATTAGCTCTCCTGTGCAGGTGTATGAGGTCACCTAAGATATGTTCCCTTTAGAGTTGGGCATACAGAATATAGAGGCTTGTTGTGGCCCATTTCGGGTCCTAATTGAGGTAACAGGGAAATATAAATTTGAAGTCTTGATAACTAATGACCAAACTCTGGTGTCATATCTGGCCTTTCTGAAAAGAGCTAAACTATCATACTAAATAGAGAAGAGAAGGAAACCTCTGACACAGCTCCAGGCCTGACACTTTCACCGTAGTCTTCATCAGAGGGAAATCAGTTTTTTTTCTTTTTTGTGCTATTTGGCACAAGATAGCTAACTGGACAGTTGCTGATAGTGAGAAGGTATGTTGCGATAGGAATCGGTAAATCGAAAGAGCTATAGTGATTAGTCTGAACAGCTCAGCCTTATGTCAGAAAGTGATTTATTTCTACCTTTGGTGAAATAACAGCAAACATAGGTGTGAGGATATATGATTATTACATCTTATGTTGTATTCTTAAAAAAAATTTGTTTTTAAATTGGGGAGTTGGGGGAGGGGAACAGCATTAGGGAATCAGGGAAGGGGAACAGACAAGTTGCAGTCCTTTAGTTCTTCAGTCTAGTTGTGGAGGACATCGCTTCACTGGCCCATGTTGGTATTATCATTGCGCTTTTCCCAGGTGAGGCAGATCGGTCACCAGCCACCAGAGGGCAGCTCATGCTTGCTGCCGGCTGCCAGCCACTCATGGTAGCTTATGGCAGCCCACTGCAGCGTCACTGCAGCCCACACCGTTGCCGGTGACGCACAGCAGCCAAGCTCCAGGTAGAGCTGTTGTTCACCATCTTAGCTGTAGAGGGCGCAGCGTCACTGGCTGTAATGTGGGATCCAAACCGGGACCCAAACCGGGACCCTGCTGCTCAGAGCTGGAGTTCCAAGCCAACTCTTAACCGGCGCTCCATTCGGCCGGCCCAATCTTATGTTGTTTTCAAATTCATTATATGCCGAATTTTTAAATAAGTGCTACCACCAGTTCCATCACAGATGCGATGCCTGAACCTAGCAATTGGTCAATTCTTCGATCTTCTTTTCAATATATAATTTTACTGATGTTTATTTTTAGTTGTAATTGTTTTAAAATTAAGAGTTGGTTGATCCAAAAAGAACTTTGTGTTGGGTGAGACTCTCAGCCAGTACATAGAGAAGTTTGACGCCACCCACAGCAACTTGCTAACCAGGAAACCCCTGCTTCCTGTTCTAGGGCAGCAGCAGACATAGCCCAGCATTTCTTCTCTCCCCCTGTGAGAGTCATCTCTCCTTGCAGAGCCCTGACGTGAAGAACAAGACACTTTCAGTCTAGTAGAAGAAATAAAGGATGTTGCTTTCCATCCTCTGAAGGTGGTCATGGCTTCCATGTTGCTGGGTAAGGATGGCCCCTGTGGGAATGGGCCTCCTCTACCACCCTAGGATTGGAGGTCCGGACAGCATATGGGTATCCTGGGAAGGAAAGGTAGTGGGGTGTGAAAAATAATTTCTTTGTCCCACATCACTTATCCCAAAACCTTGTGATTCTATCTTTTTTTCTTTTAGGATCTAATGTTGCCCAGAAGGTCACTCAAAGCCAACCAGCAATGTTAGTGCAGGAGCAGGAGGCCGTGACCCTGGACCGCACATACGACACCACTGAGAGCAGTTATAGTCTATTCTGGTACAAGCAGCTCAGCACTGGGGCAATGATTTTCCTTATTCGTCAGGACTGTTATAGCCAGCAAAATGCCACACAAGGTCGCTACTCTTTGAATTTTCAGAAAGCATACAAATCTGCCAACCTTGTCATCTCAGCTTCACACCTGGAAGACTCCGCATTGTATTTCTGTGCCCTGAGGGAGCCCACAGTGAGATGTGTGTTTGAAGGAGGTGTATCAAAACCCCAGGGCTCTTCTTCATGCATCCATCTGCTGTAGAGACCAAGGCCAGAAATTGCCATTGCAGACAGGAAGTGGCGAGGGTTATGGTAGCACAGGTATAGGTAGGGTTATAGGGAAAACACTCTAAGAATATACCTCTCTGGGTTAATAACTCATGCTTAGAGTTATAATTCATCATAATATTGAATATTAAGTTTAAAATTGTTCATTAAAGACAAAGAAGAGCCACAATAAACAATTTGCCATTTGGTGATAGATTGAGCTAGAAGAATTGACTAGGGAAATTCAGAAACATCTGACTCAAACATCAGTAAAAATAGGTATAAATTGTTGGATATTCAGATCCATTTTTCTGTGAATATTTATGGAGTGAATTTTTTGTTATAGGCATTATTGTGATTAAGGAAGTCCATGAAATCTATTTATGTTTTTCCTATTGTATATTATGCTCTTGTATACTGTTTAATGAATTCGTTTAATATAGATTTGTTAGCTGAGTTAAGGGTACGCTCATTTATTTTCTAAGGTGCCTATTACATGACCAACTTTGTTCAGATGCTCTTTCTGTCTTGTTAACACACTGGCATGTAAGATCTCAGTTTCTCTGTGTAGATCTACCTGCCTTCCACCATACTTACTCATTAAATGATCAAGAATTAGTGCTCTAGGGGGACCTTGTGAAGAAGCAGAGTGTAAATTATTTTCTTTCTCTGCCCTTGCCTTTCTTTTTATTCTTTTTATTTATTATTTTCAGGTTACAAAGCAATGTAATAGTTAGACATTTACACCCCTCACAATGTGAAACCCCCCCTTTCCCAAGCTACGACCCCTCTGACATCTTATATAGCTATGTTTATTATGCTATACTGCACATCCCTTGAAAATACATACATACATGCATATATACATATATACATATAAATGTGTATATATATTTATTTATAGTTGACATACAATATTATTCTACTTCAACTTTGGTGTATAGCGCATTGGTCAGGCATCTACACAGTCTTTGAAGTGAGCCCCCTGATAAGTCCAGTGCCCATCTGACACCTTACATAAACATTGTTGATTATATTCCCCATACTGTATTTCATTTTCATGTGACTATATTGTGTCTACTAATTTTCACTTTCTAATCCCTTCACCTTCTGCTCTATATCCTTCCCCTCCCATCTAGCAACCAATAGTTTTTTTTTCTATCTCTGAGTCTATTTCTGTTTTGTTTGTTCATTTATTCTGTTCTTTAGATTCCACATATAAGTGAGATCATATGGTATTTGTCTTTCTCAGGCTGTCTTATTTCAAGGTCCATCCATGTTGTTGCAAATGGTAAGATTTCATTATTTTTTATGGCCAAGTAATACTCCATTGTATAAATGTACAACAGTTTTTTAATTCAATTATCTATTGATAGGCATTTTGGTTGTTTCCATATCTTGGCTATTGTGAGTAGAGCTGCAATAAACATAGAAGAGCATATATTTTTTTGAATTAGTGTTTTGGATTTGTGTGGATAGATACCCAGGAGTAGAATTGCTGGGTCATAAGTACCTCAATTTTTTTGAGTTTCTTCCATACTGCTTTCCAAAATGGCTGCACCAATCTGTGATCACACCAACAGTGCACGAGGGTTCCCTTTTCTCCACATCCTCACCAGCACTTGTTGTTTGTTGATTTATTGATGATTGCCATTCTGACAGTAGTGAGGTGGTATCTCATTGTGATTTTTTAGTTGCACTTCTCTAATGATTAGTGACATTGAGCATTTTTTTCATATGTGTGTTGGCCATCTGTATGTCTTCTTTAGCCTCCTCATGTCCCCTGCCCATCTTTTAATAGAGCAATTGTTTTTGTGGTTTTGAGTTGTATGAGTGTTTTATAAATTTTGGATATTAATCCCTTATCAGACATATCTTTGGGAAGTATCTTCTCCCACTCAGTAGGATGCATTTTTTCACAGAATTGGAATAAATAATCTTAAAATTTATGTGGAACCATAAAAGACCCTGAATAGCCTCAGCAATCTTGAGAAATAAGAATGAAGTGGGAAATATCATGCTACCTGACATCAAATCATACTACAAGGCTATAGTAATCAAAACAGCATGTTATTGGCATAAAAACAGACACATAGATCAATGGAAGAGAATAGAGAGCCCAGAAAAAATCCATGACTATAGGGGCCGGCCAAGTGGCGCATGGTTAAGAACTGGCTTGGGATGCCAGAGGGCCCCGGTTCGGATCCCACATATGAGGGCCAGTGACACTGCCCTCCACAGCTAAGATGCTGAACNGGTAGAAAATTCCTTGTTTGCTGTTTTGATCTCAGTGGTTTAAATTTTTATTTTTAAATAATCACATAGAAAAATTGTCTACTTTTGGTGTAGAATTCTGTGAGTTCTGACTATATGGTATAGATCAGGGGTCCACAACCTTTTGAGATGGAAGATCAAATCCTATCCCTCACAACAATTTAAAAATCATTTGAGAGCCATAAAACAAATGAAGTCACCATTATGTGAATACTATCCTTTAAAAATTTTATAAATGAAACTAGGATAGTTTTATTTTCATTTTCAATTTTACTTCTGAGCCACATATATGTACCCAAAGAGCTGCATGTGGCCCGCGAGCCGCAGTTTGCCAAGCCCTAGTATAGATCATATAACCATCACATGATTAGGATTCAAAAAAGTTTCATTGCTCTCCCAAATTGCCTTCTGCTGTCCTTTTGTAATTACACACATCACTATTCCCAGGTTCTCGCACAAACTGGTTTGCTTGTCTATATTTTTATCTTTCTAAGAGTGTCAGATAAATGGAATCATGTAGTACATAACCTTTTGAGATGTCTGAATCTTGGTGAGAAGAAGCACATGCCACCGGGCACATGTGTGACTTCCATGTCTGCCACCACTCTCAGTTTTTTCTACAGTTGGTTTTTGAACATTTAAGTAAATTTTATAGGCATAATTCATCATTTCAAGTGTTTTTATTCTCATCAATAAAGATTCACTCTTGCAGCACCAATTAGAGTATAGTTATTATTTGGGTTTTCTAGGACTTGGCATTGAATGACATAGCCACACAATTCTTTACTTAGTTGCACTAATAATGTCTTTGTAGAGCTGAACTATAGCATTAGCATTGGAATTATCTCAAATGAAGGCTGTATGTAAGGAAGCTGTTTTGTTTGGTAGAGAATAAAGTCATGTAAATCAGAAATATAATACAGTCTAGTATTAAAGAGGGAATATACCTTTAAAAGTATGAAAAATAAAAGAATGGAAAGGAGAGGGTGACAATGAGGGGTTTAATCACCCTGGAGAATTTTCTTTTATTGGTATTGAATAGAGATGCCTATCATATGAAATTCTATATTTGTTTCAGTGATGTTGTATCGGTACTCATGTTCTGTGGACTGTTGTTCACTTCTGATGATCTCTGAAGAACCTCAGTTTAAGGTCTCTAATGTAAGAAACTTTTCAATTCTTGTTATTTAAGGATGCAAGGTGTCATTCTAGTTGGTAAACAGGTAACCAAAGATCAATCTCTTGTACTTTATCTGCTGAACTTGCAGTAAATAATATCTAATAAGCCATTGCACAAGTCCCAGTGGCAATCTGTCTCTGGAATTTTTTTCAGAGCACCAGTCAAATGGCGTAGGCCACGCAAAGGCTGATTAAAAAAAAGCAACTTGTGGCTGTTGATGAAACGACTAAGATTCGTGGGTTTATTTTTCTCATTAAGTTTTTAAGACATTAAAATATGTATGGTTTGGGACCTTCTGAGGTACATGGGCCTATCAGTGACCAGTTCACAGTGTGTCAATATATGATTTAGTGAGGGAAGGTATGGAAGGCCATGAGAGCTAAGGCTAACAATGCATTAGGCCATAGGAGTTCAGGAGTGTCTGCTACAGTAATTTATTTCAGTGTTAATATTCCACTTTTTTTTTTAACTTTTCTAGAGGATGAGGTGCTGATAAGAAACATGATTATTCTGGGTAAGGGCAAACCTTACATATGTGTCCCTGAGAAATTTGTTCCCCGACTTATAGATTGAATTGGCATAGGTAGTAAACACAATATCAGATAGATATTTAACCATCCTGAGGGCCACGGTTTTCTGACAGGATAGTACTCAGTTCACCTACAATATAAAATATTTTATCTACTTGATATGATGACCCATGGATGAAATGCAACTGTGTATGATCCTTTTGGAGATATACATATGTTTCCTTTGGGCAGTATTGCAGTTTGTATCCCACATTTATAGTATTTATGGGATTTGTTGGTTCCAAGAAAGGTGTGACCTGGCACCATTTTCTGCCAACCTAGAAAAGATTCCCCACCAGAGTTTGTTTATTGTTGCAGATAATACACACCTACTGTGATGTGTTGTCTCTGGAGTGTTTTAGCAAATGTTCATTGGAGGTCATTTGGCTTCTCCAGGCTGCTGTGATGGCTTTGATGTATCTGTAATATTTTCTAGTTATTCAACCAACTGGTAGGAAAATGCTGGGTGTTCTTAGATAGGAAAAGTATTTGTATTGTATGTGGTAGAAAAATTTCATGGGCTGGCCGAGTGGCGTGTTGGTTAAGAGCTGGCTTGGGACACCATAGGGCCCCGGTTCGGATCCCACATGTGAGGGCTAGTGACACTGCCCTCTACAGCTAAGATGCTGAACAACAGCTCGACCTGGAGCTGGGCTGCTGTGAGTCGCCGGCGACGGCGTAGGCTGCAGTCCCTGNATTAGGGATGGGCTTTTAATCATTGTGTTTATTTTTCTGGTTATAAAACATTATAAGGCAAATATAGAAATTATGTAAATACAAAATTATGAATTTGATAATAGTGTAATCAGAAATATTGCTAATATTCAACCACATTAATTTTTGTTGTTATTATTATTATTATTATTATTCTTCTTCAAGATTTTATTGGGGAATTGGGGAAGGTGAACAGTGCTGGGGAATTGGGGAAGGAGAACAGCCAAGTTGTTGTCCTTCAGTCTTAGTTGTGGGGGG